GTATGACAGGGAAATAAATCGTCAAAATGGCTAGAGTAGAATGTGACAGAAATTGGTCTGTGATGCTGACAAAATAGTGAAATATGCGAAATATATGTTCTGTTGAGCCGCAGCAGAATGAATAGCATCGACTTGATGAGTGAATTCGAATTTAAATGCGTAGTTCCCGTTCGTAGGATGATAATAGTTAAGTCGTGAAATGATATCTGCATCGACGGGTGATATTCGTTGCTGTACTGCAATTGATAATAATCATAAAATTTGAAGTCAGTGAATGTTGTCGTCTGCGTTATGACAGATGCATTGAGTTATCGTTAAATATGTATTAGTAGAATGACCAGAGGAACATAATAGTGACTGAGTAGATAAGGTACGTAGAGTCGTATTCCTTTTTGGTCATGAAGCCTAGAGTGGTTTGTGTGGTTTGAGGGAGATGCGCTCGATCTCGTTTGTTACAAAACCGTACCAAGGCATGACAAAAATACCAATACATATGATTAACGATGGCGACTTATGAGACTGACTTGGATGTGACGAACAAGAGTGTATCTTTGAGAGGCTAGCTCTAAACTCTATGTTCTGATATACCGAGCGATGGGTATAGAATAGTAGTTGCAGTACTCGAATAGCGTTTTCGCGTGATAAGTGATGCAGCATGTAGTTATGCACGTGGAAGAATAGATAAAATGAGCGTAATGGTTACTAATCAGCTAGTCAGAAGCATCCACAGACATAATAGGAGGCGATTTCGAAATGAAAAATGTATGTTGTGATAACATAAATTGCTGACCTCGACTAAGTGAATGAATGCAATATTAGATCAAAATGACATGAAAAAATTGGAACGAACTCACTTAAAGCAGGAAAATTTTACGTTTTTGAATAGTAAAAATATCCCAATGAGTTCTCACAAAGTGGAGTGGAATTTTCATAAAATGATAATTTGTTCGGTGAGTGATATGATTGCGAAAATGTCAATTTAGTGACAGCACGAACAAGATTAATAATTCCACATTCGGTCATGATATTGATAATAATATAATAATGAGCATATAATGATAATTTGAATCGTAATCGAACAAACCGACGAATGGATCAATGAGAATAGTTGACATGAGGACAAAGTAACAATAAGATAATAAGATTTGTGCATGTCCATGTCGTGCTGCACAGGCTTTGCTGAGTCCGTCGGATTAGAGGAATTGCGCTGGCTTCGCTGAATTTGTTCGTTGAACGTATAGAGTTCAGAAGTTCCTTCATCGACGTAGCTTGCTGCGTTGCGTTCGTCGTCGGCGGGCTTACCAATGTAGAAGCCCAATGATCTGACTCCAATTTATGAATGTACGAGTGTTTGCTATCACCTATTCTCGTATATAATCGTCGACTTAGATCGCGTTATCCAATAACGGAATTAAATAAGTCGAATAACGAGAATTGATTTGAAAATACATATATTTCGTACATGAAGTGAATGAAGCACAGCAAAGCAAAAATGACACGTATGGAAGATGGCTGGGAAGCCAACTCCGTTTTAGTGAAGCGTTAATTAATATTTATAGGCAGACAAAACAAACTACAGACATGTGATGAATCATGGGACATGAAGTGTACACACATATAAGCTCATATAAAAAATGTCAAGACTGACAAGCGAATAATTGGCAAGGTCAAAATATGACTGAAGTAGAATGAATAAAACGGAATGTCCGAAAACTAGAATATAAGATATATGGGCTTAAAATAATGACTGACACTACAAGATATTCAATATTTAACGCGGAGAAATACCTAACGATGGAGAAGGCGCGAACAAGATGTAGAATTGATCGGAGTTGATCGAACGACATGGCTCGGCCATGCAGGCGTGGTCCATCTGAATGTTACCTTATATCTTCTATTCATATTAAATATATTGTTCTTTCTCTAGCCTAACCTTGTTCTACATCATGTATTGGTAATTGATACGATACAGTGGGTTGGTGTAGTCAATGGTGTGACTTCCACGTAAGATCTTATAGATTAGGCAGTTATATCATGACAAATCTACAAATTTAGGATTAGGTCTATTATTAGAGCAGTACTAATATTATAGTAGACTATAATTCCACATTGTTCTACCCTGTGTGGATAGACCATGCACAGATTCGTTCAAAAGATAATATTTGGTCGCCTTATAATAATTTCAATTCTGGAAGATTGCTTCAATTCACAATCAAAAGTGCACAAGTTCAGTCAGTACAAGCAGCACAACCAAAAGGAGGAACAAACCAATATGGCTGCCGCCAAGACTAAGTATCAACTAAAACAAGATAAATGCAGTTCAGGAAGAAACATGGAAACCTAGTGAAGGTGTAAGAAAAATAAAAAGTATAATAAAATGCAAATATTACCAACTCAAATGGAATCAAAAAGACCAACAAAATGCGCAACTAAAGGAATCAATAGGAACAAACTGTAAGTGTGTAAATGGAGGGATTTTCACACACAAAACATACGAAATGGATCTTACACTATCTACAACCTGTGGTACGATAGTTGGAAAAGTTGTCGATCAAGTAGTGTGCGCCTATCCTAATGACTTTATGTCGCGATTGCTCACATTGTTTTGTTTGTCCACACTTCACGTCCGAATTACTCCTGCATCGGCAGACATGAACCATCGAATGAAAGGAAAATGAGCATACGAACCCGTGAGATTTGTATGCAACAATGATTCTTTATATTTATTAGTTCACGCTTTTGGGGATTCCAAATACAATATGATCACTTGTGCTCAGCATTTTTTTATCTGGCTTATGTTGAAAATGCGTGTACAAGCCTAAAATAACCAATACAAGGATCACAATAATTGGATAGAATATATGGATCTGTTAAAGCATTCGGTCTGACTGTTTGAGAAGTCCTGTCATCAATTTTGAGTTAGAATTTGACCAAGAAAGTGAATACTAGTCAACGAAACAAGTTGTGAGTTTTGTAGAAAAAACCATCAATATTTTTGCCTAACGTAAACCGGGATTTTTTTTGAGTGGGAGAGGTTTGGCGCTCAAATTTTCTCGTTGTTATTCAGTGACGTGGAAAACTGAGGAAATGTTGATTTGCTTCGTTTTGCATTATATGGTGAACGTGAACTGAGTTATCATTCGTCTAATAAAGTGAACATTTCATCTTTCAGCTCAGAATGTATTTGTTTTACAAAGCACCAAAACAATTAACTATTTAATTGATGATATTTCAATCACAATAACAAGCTATGGGCTAGTTCTTGTTCACCTAGCCCAGTTGAATGCATAGTGATGATTGACATGTTTTTCATAATCCCCTTTTGTATCCAGATTATCACCGGCCAGTCAAAACACTACTGCTTTAGATATGACGTAAATGGGCTTATAGAGTACAATGGCGTGTGATCAATGTGGTGAAAAAATTTCCTGACATTTCTTGTGAGGACGAACGGCGGATCCTCGACACAATACCATTATCTTACCATAGGTTACACAGGGGTTTAATACTAGATTACAATGTAGCAACTGGTGGTTTTGATACTTATGTATTATATTTTCGTCATATCTGCGACCGATTATCTGTGAAAAAGTTGTCAGAAAGTTCAAAAATCACGACCAGATGACCTACGTCTAGAGTTTAGTTTATCATGGGGAGTATTTGGTTACTGGATTCTTTTAATAGTAAACGTATAGTCAACATCTTTTTCAGCAGGATGAAAAGTAAACCCGGTTAGCAGGACTAAAACAGTTCATTTATCCTTATATCCTTACCTGTGGATGATGTGTAGAATTATGGTCGATTATGATATTATTACTGCTCTTATAATAGACTTAATCCTAAAATTGTACACTAGTCGTGATGTAACAGTCTAATCTATGAGATCTTACATGGTAATAACATCATTGCATACACTCACTCATCGTACCGTAACAATTGCCAATATACGATGGAGAACACATTCAGGCTGGAGATAAAATAATATATTTAATATGAGTAAAAGTATGTTGTACGTGACCACGCCTACAAGGTTGAGCTATGCCATCCGATCAATCGGAATTAACTCAGTACCTTATCCATCGTTGGGTTTTTCTCCGCGTTAAATGTTGAACATCTATTTTCCCATATGTCTGGTGTTCAGCATTGAGGATTGTGTGGTCAAGACCCAATGACAATACACTACTCTCCCACCAAAATCAACGTGATGTTGGTTCGATACCGAATCGGATGATATTGTCGCGCGACGGAGGTTACCAAGAATAATCGGAATCCTCCGGGTATTGATAAGCTGAAAAATAAATCAAAAAGGAGATAGGGAAATATATGTAATAGCTTTAAAATGTCTGTTTTAATGTTTAACACACTCAAAATGAAAATTTGGATGTGGATTATTTGGGCTAAAAATAAGACAGTAATAATAGATTGATTCCGTGTAGGGGTATTTTATTAAGTCGACGCAAGATGCGTAGTAGTAGCCGTTGGTTAATACCTTAACGTTTAGGTAGTACATATTTTGTGTTTAGATATATAAAAAACAAGCAGCATTGTAGAAATGTTAATATTGGTATTACCTGTGGCTTAATTTTCTAAGTCAAACATCTATTTTCCCAAATTTTTCGTGTTCAGCAATGAGGATTGTGCGGTTAAGGCCCAATGCCACTACAGATGACAAGTTAAAGGTCCATTGTGTACTTTCATTTCACTCATGCTTACTGAGACTATTCTGGTCATCTTCCTTCAGTCTCTTCTTTCACGATTAACTTTAGTTTCCTCGTATTTTTATGAAATCAGATGCATTAACATACTTTCATATAATATAGAATTATCTACCACAACGCAGGTTTAAAAAAAGAATAATATAAAGACCATATTAGGTGTTTTTGCTCAGATTCACATCGAACTAGCGCTCAAATGTACATATGATTTCGGAATTTTATAATAGTAATTAACCGAGAAGTTCATAAATTCTTAAAATGTGTAGATATATTTACCCGTTCCTTGAAAACCTGGCGCAATATTTAAATGGAGCGACTTTCATCCCCATCTTTACATTCCAAGGTATGTATATCCTTAGAATAAGATAAATTTAGATAAAAACCATGTTCTAGGTAGTAAAAGCAGTGCCTGAGGTCTCCACGTTTTTTATTTGGTGTTAGTAGTATCGCTGAATTTAGGTCTGCATTTTCGTAGTTGGAACCAAATAACCTACTGTTTACTTGATAATTTCCACTTGTTTGTATTCTTTATGAATATCTGTTGGTTGTTTGCCACAAGCTTTTAGTAAGATTGTATGAACTTTCAGGTGTCTTAAAAGTAAGTCAGTTGTTCTAACAATCTGTAAATTAATTTACACAGATTCAGATTCAGATTTGTGTAGTAAGGAGAGAAGGCCTACGGCCTATGTTATTCCTTTTCTAGTATGCTTCTGTGAGCGTCCAGTCTTCTCTTGAAAGAGTCAATTGAAGGTGCGGACACTACTGCTTCAGGCAGCAGGTTCCAACTATTGATGACTCGGTGTGAAAACCTGTATGCCACGGGTGTTTACAGATTTCACTCCACATAGTCGATATAAGGGAAGGGAAAATAGACACTTTTTCCTTGTCCGCGCCGTCACCTTTTTTTCCCATCTGCTTGGGTTTAGTGAGCCTGTTAGTCGTTACTAATATGTATCGGTTTGCTTTGAATGTAACATTACTCATTTCGGTATATTATCAGCTACTAGTATCTATGTAGGAATTAATCATCGCTTAGCATATGGTTGACTGGTGATTATGAAACTAAAGCTTAGCTGTATTTTTAGAGTATGGTTTCGGGTTAGGCTTTCTCTTTCACTTCCTAAAAACTAAAAACCTCACAGAGTGTATATAGGACGTGGTTGGGTGTTTGACTGCGTTAGGAAGTACAATAAATACATCGATTATCGGTGGACATGATTTGTCCTATTTCAGAGCTTTATCCTAGTAATTCTTCAAATCGAATTGTTTTCATTGTTCTCGGTTGATATTCAATGAATAATCATAGCCTGATGTTAAAGATATCAGGGGATGTCTTAAAAACGGTTTCATCCATCCTATCTTCCTTACGCTAAATCCACTGTCATCACATATTTTTCGCTGTAAGTCTCATTTACTGCCATTGAGTTGCATTTTTGTATTTGAATTCCTATTATAGTTGAACCCATTCCCCCTCCCCTTATCATACTGATTTCATGCCTCACTGCTGATTAGGTGTATGAACTTAAATCGGCTCACATATGTCCCAGATTCTACGTTGCATATAGATGACCAATTTCAAAAAACTTTTTAGAGGAGAAGTTAAATCGTCGGTTGCTTACAGTTGTGTTACTTAATTGTCTTTGATAGATAACCTGTTAAATACATTTGTCAAGTAATGAAACTGTTAATTCTACCGAGTATTTTTTCCACCATTTTATTTTCAAGGCTGCTCACTAGTAAGTGTGCGATGAATCGCAGGTCAATGAATAATTGTATTTCAATTTTATGTTATTTATTACATGAAATTCCACTGCATGGTTTTCATAAGTTAATATCCACTGAAGAAATGAATTTATGATACTTGAAAAGTATGTGATCAATGGAGTGAAAAGAGTTACTGTCATTATGGTAAAAAAGAAGTGTGTTTCATAATCAAAAACCATTATTAGAAATAACCTCTTCAGCGTTAATAATCGTAACAATGGAACCATGCAATATAACCATTGGAAGAAATGGGTAAACTAAATAAACCATAAACTTTGGCTATGATGAAAAGCAAAAGACCTACCAAACCGTTTCCGCATGCTAAATCGGGGTTTCATGTTGTGAATAGCTTAATTTTCTCAGTTTGACGTAGGCTTAGGAGCAGATCTTTCGGAATGTTTGACTGGATCCTGTAAATGATTCCGTAGGACAAACCTAAAGTTGAATTTCTTGCGTCTACTGCGTGTTGCAGAATAATAATCATAACTTATCTTCATTGTTCTTTACTAAGCTATTCTGAAAGACACTATCGAATATGGCAAGGAAGCGGCCTCGAAGATCGGATTACATAGCTCCACAGGACATAAACTCGTCTATAAACTTGGAATCGATTAGTCATAACAAATAAATAAGCATCTTTAGTGGGTTACGCGAAGATTTGCTGAGTAAATTGTTTTTTGAGTCGATTTTGCCGAACGTTTATCAAGTATATCATGAGCCGTATTTTTTGGGATGCAAGATTTACACATAATTAGAATAAAAGCTCTTAACTCAATAACACACTTACAAAACTTCAAACATTCATCTTGAATCATGCTTACTGGGAGATCTAATAATGGGACTTGGTTGGTCCATTGAAATGTATACAGTAACATTTGTGTCTTTAACCTGGTTGTTGACGTTCGTGGTACCCTCAGGATATAGTACACAAATGACTAAACTATCTGGTTACCCGGACTAGATGATACAATAGTACCTCTTGGTAGGTTGGAATACTTAGTTATAAAACTATTGGTTTTATCTAAAGAACTACATTTTTAAGGTCTTTCTTAAACTTTGAAAGTGTCCTAAGATTGAAAGGTTCATCGACTAAAGTGTTCTTCATAAACAATCAATGGTGATGGGTGCACTCCTTCTCAGTACTATAAGACATTTGAAAGAGTCATATTCAATGGATGTATTCATATTCTTAGGATAAAAACTCTAGCTCTTTATGAATATGTCACTTCTCAGATGTGGCCATATTTCACTATTTCTGAGTGATCTGCATCCATGAAAATGCTGTTTGAACGTTTTAATTGGAAGTCCAACGAACTTTGCTTAGACATTTTAATATTTACGATTCAGATCCGTATTTATCTACTTTCAAATAATCACCTGTCTGTTGAGTTATATTTGTTTACGTTTTGCTATCGTAAAGCTTTCCAACCCAGATCAGCAGATAGTTTTCGTTGTTTTTTAATTGGTCCACGTAATAACAAGGTAATATGATTCGTAAGGTACATGCTTTAATGTCATCCTCAAACTTCGTGGTGAATGATCTTGACACCCCCAAGTGACTATCCTTGTAGGAAAAAAATTGAAAAGCCCCCAAATTATCTCTTGCAGTTCTGCACTGTTCATGAGGATAGAGGACTAGCTTTCCTCACCTCTAACAATTTTCGACCCTTAGTATTTGGACTGTATATAAATTTACTTAACATTGGTCACCAAATGACCTACATGGTGTATATGCAGTTTAGATTGGAAAGGTACCTGAATTTATAGCCATGAATTAGTTTAGGGGGCAAAAAACAGGTTTAACACATTTTTCTTGACAACACGCTTATCGAAAGGAATATTGGGAGAGGTATAAAATTTCATAATGCTGTCCGTAATTCTTTCAATATTTATCATAATTAATCAGTAAGCCATTAGATATGTTGAATTCTGTGTTGTAGTATCGTGGTAGCATGAAGAAGATAATGAATTGCTTATATTATCAATGGAATTATTTATCACCAAAACATAGGAAAATGTCTTAGTCAATTTATTTTCCTGTTAGTCTCATGAACTAAATGAAATGGATGTCTTTGTATACCAAGTTGAACATGGTGGTGAATAGATATCTCGTTAATATTATTAGCTGCCTATTATTAGTGTATAGCATTGGAATTATTTGATATTCTTGCAGTGACAGTGTCTTAATTTCTTCGAGAGTTGAAGTTTCGAGTCGCGTTCTATCTCATTTTCTTCTGGAATGCTGGATATTATTATCAACCTTTAAACAAAAAGTGCGATCTGAATCTCCTGGTATTTGAATCTGTAGTTGGTTGGTTAATCACATTAATAAATAATTTGAGGTGAATTTTGATATACAAGTTATATGAACAAATATATGCCCCTTGATGGAGATCGCTGAAGTAATAGGATGATTAGTCTTGAACATATCTTCATTTTTTACCATTTCTTTTTTTAAATCTGAACTAGGATTCTTTTGCTTGTGTCATCTATTTGTCCCGTAGTTTCAGTTCTTTGGCTCTAGTTCTCTATTGCACATTGTTCTTTTTAGTTATTTTATAATAATTCTGAGAAGTGTAGCAATCTGAATTAATGCAATCCACCTATAGACTATGTTATTTCACTTGTTCGGTGTTGATGATTTAACTATCTGTTATTTATATTCTAAGTTTTTTATCAGTATTGTTCTACTAATATTGGCTTATTATTTCCGTTATTCTAGTGCTTGCTAAATATTTGAAAATCCAGTCACTTGTAGGCTTACATGCCTAACAGAATTATCATTTCGTTATGACGTCTACAAGTAGTGATATTGTTCCAGTTGGCACAATAATCAAAGAAAGATGGAGAGTTTACACTAAAATTGGTGGCGGTGGTTTTGGTGAAATCTATGAAGCTGTTGATATGATCAATCAACAAAAAGTTGCTGTGAAAGTTGAATCGGCACAACAACCGAAACAAGTATTAAAAATGGAAGTTGCTGTACTTAAACGATTACAAGGACGTGCACACACATGTCGTTTTATCGGTTGTGGCAGAAATGAACAGTTCAATTATATAGTAATGAGTCTTCAAGGTAAAAATCTAGCAGATTTAAGACGATCAACTCGTCGTGGATGTTTTACTATAAGTACAACTGTACGACTAGCTCGTCAAATGCTTGTTGCTATTGAAAATGTCCATAATGTTGGATTTCTTCATAGAGATATAAAACCATCAAATTTTGCATTAGGAACTGGGATCGGACCTGGCGCTGTTAATCCTAGACAAATTGTGCTTCTTGACTTTGGGTTGGCTCGTCAGTATACGACTGCAAACGGAGACATTCGAGCTCCTAGACAGGTAGCTGGTTTTCGGGGTACTGTCAGGTACGCTTCTGTTAATGCTCATTCAAATAAGGAACTTGGACGCCATGATGATCTCTGGTCGTTATATTATATGCTTGGTGAATTCATAGTCGGTGAATTACCTTGGCGAAAAATCAAAGATAAGGAGCAGGTTGGCTTGATGAAACAAACGTTTGATCATAATCAGTTATTAAAGTTTATGCCACGTGAATTTAGACCATTTCTTGAACATATTCAAAATTTGACCTATTTTGATCGTCCAGACTACATATATTTGCATTCTTTGCTTAACGCTTATATGGAACGTCGTAGGATAAATGAATCTGATCCATTTGATTGGGAGATAACAACTGAGCCTACGCCTGTTACTGGTGCTAATGAGACCAATCAGCACCATACAACACAAACACCTATAGCAACTCAACAAGCTGCTCAGGTCACTGTAGCTGGAACACAGGGAACACTAGATGTCTCCAAGCTCCGAAAGGGTATTCCTTCTGGAGTGGATCAAAATCGGCTAAATGTTGGTGCAGGCTCAAGTGGATATATAAGTGGAACTAGATTGGCCGGAAGTAGTTCAAACTTAGCTCTTGTAAGTCCAGTTGTAACCACTTCAGTGGCTAATGTAGGGAAATCTTTTGATGCTATCCCATGTCATGGCGGACCAAATGGTAGTGCCTTAAATTCAAGATCAGGTGTAGTTTCACATCATCGTAATAATGTCGACGAAATTTTGAGCAATCACAATTCTCAGCAGCAACAAGGTAACAATACACCGCGTAAATCATTTTCAAATGCAGGTGCACGGTCGCATCGACCTGCCACTACTCCACGTCTTGTTAAAGAAGCCGGAGCGGCGAGAGCTCGTGAAGCTGCCTCTAAAGATGTTACCAAAGTAGATCATTTTTACTCTCCACATTCTCAAGCTAATCGTGTTTCTCCTTCAGCTAAAGTTGGTAATACCGACTCAGTTTGTCAACCAACGGATAGTTCTATACCGATTAGTTGTGGACATCGTAATAATGATCCAAACAGACTTCAACCTGGTATAGGAACAACGAACAGCAATTCATCAAATCGTCGACCAATAAGTGCAGGTGCAGCTCATCTTAGAAGTAGTGGAGGCACTATAGGAAGTACAGCAAGTGTTGTTGGGGCTGGTTCAGGGACGCGATGCGACACAAGTTGCACACACGCTGTCATTGTAATGGTCGATCAAGGAGAAAATAGTAATTATCATGATATGACAAAAGCTGTTCCTCTCACACTCGCTAGTCATTGGATTGCTGGTGGAGAAGATGAAGAAGGTTCGGGCCTCTCTGAAAATGAAGATGCTGTCGTAAAAGTTAAAGGTCCAGCTTCTTCTGTTGCTAGTGCTTCTGGTGGGGTTGGAGACGAATATGATGCGTCGAATCATTTGAACAAATTTAATGGAACAAATAATCAATTACCTGAATGTGGGAGTGGAGAAGACAATGAAGTATTTCCCAGAATGCAGTCAGAAAATGGCAATAATGACAATAATTACTTTTGTAATTGTGACCCTAGTATGTTAAATTCTCAGCGAGTCTTTCAACCTTCTGGAGATGTTAACAAGGATGTTGGATCTGGTTCTTATCAAGAGCCAGGATCAGATGAAAATAGTGGAGAGAGATCTTCAGTGAATGTACCTTATATTACACCTGGCAGACAAGTATCTATTTCTTCTCAACACACATATGGAGAGGTTGAAAGTGGTTCCTACAGACATAATATCAATTCTTTTGGAAATCGAGGTGTTGCACGTAAGCTATCCCAAGGATTTCGTCGACAAAGAGCACTGCCTCAATATCTTACTTCAGAATCAAAATTACTTCCAAGTTATGGTATGCCTACAGCCAAAGAAAGTTGTTTAGTCAATTCACCAACTCGTTTGAAATCTTTTAAAAGTGATAATGATAATAATTGGATCACTCGAAGTGGTGGTGATTTAATGCCTCAGTTTCCAATTCCATTCTCACGTTCCACAAGTCCATATCATCCTCATGGCTTAGAAATTGTTGATGAAAATGCTAGTATACCAGTTTCTAAGCATTCACCATATATTACACAAGAAATGGTTGATCGCAGGGGTCGAATCCAGTATAAAGATTTACATGATCATGATTATCGTGAGTCAGGAAATATAATTAATGAGTTTCATTTTGATCCAATTGTTAATTTAAATAATAATCATAATGATAATAACAATGCTAACGCTAATAATAATCACAATTATTCAAATACATGGAAGTTTAATCAAAACAATAATTGTTTTCCTAATCCACCACATTTAAATTCTTCTAATTCCATGTATCATCATTTACAACCTGTCGAGAATCAATCAAATCATATGAGTCGTTCAATGATATTATCACAAACAAGCAGCGCTGAGCCATCATCCACATATAATCTCATGCATCCATTACGAATAAATAATGAAAATAATGAGATTAATTTGAAACCACCAAATTCATCATATTTAACTGATGGTCCTATCTTTTATAAATCACCATTTCAATATTCTTCAGCATCGCCATCTGTCACAAAACCATTAACTACTACTATAATATCACGTGATTATTTCCGCTCTCGTCCTGATATCTCTTCAGGATCACGTCAATATTATGTTTCACAACCAAATAATCATTTCAGTACAACTACACGACGTCCGACATTATCGGTCGCACAAAATAATTCATACTTAAAAGCACCATTTTCTAAATCTGAACATAATCTTTTACATGCTGTGGATAGCTTACCGGAATTGGAAAACAGACGATTTCAGCCTACAGTTGAAGATGATAGTTACTTGGTAAGTGAAATATATATATTCAGTAGTGAGAGAGTTTAGGTAATGGAGAGAACACTTGTTATCAAACTTAAGTAGTGCTGTAAGAGCGTGACCGACTGGCAATTCCAAGCTTTTCACACCATACCAAAGTAAAAAGTGGACAGGATTAGAACTAATGGTTCAGTTGGCTGTAGAGCTTAAAGGGAAACTGGTTGAGGCTCGTGACCCTATTGGTGAATAGATAGTTGTATTATCTATCAGCTAAATTTTGTTGAGTTATAATAATTGATTTGTACTAGTTTCTCAGATTGTTAATAATAACTTATCAGTAAATAAGGATATTAAATATGTATAGCTTAATACTCATATGGGATGGTTAACTAACATAGTATCAAATTGGAGTCGCAACAATTGATGTTCCTGTATTTATCAGCTAGAATAGACTAAAGTTATTTTAGGAGTCCTTTCAGAGTTGATTACTAGTGGAGATATTGAAATATATCAGTTATTCGTAACAAATGTAAGGTACAGCACGGATTTGTGTTAGTCCAAGTTGCCACATTGAATGGCAAAGAAAAAACGAAATTAAAAGAGGAGTAGAATCAATTTCGGCTACCGTGTAAATATGGAAGTACACGAGAAGTACAGATCAAAGAATAAGTAAGATCTCAGGATAGAAAGTTAAGAGTTACGTAACTCGACATCTAGAGGGAGTTAAGCAATTATACAACCGCTCCACTAGCATTGATTTTATGCAATATCATTGAACGTCTCTAACAGTTGATTACGAATAGTAGTTAGTTTAGGGACAGAGTATCAAAAAGGTAAATTAGTCAATGGAGCTATAAGTTTATCAACTGAGCTGCTCTAAAGACATTTTACGCATATATATCCGCCATATATCTTAGAGACTGGCTAGGGTAGGAGTTGGTTGGAAAATAGCTAGAGCCAAGTAGGTCAAGCAAAACTATATTAATCTTTCAAGTCCCTGATCTCTGAGGTTTCATCGTCCTCATAGATGCAGATTCCCTGGTTGGAAACCTTATAATAACTAATCCGTGGTTGTAGACTTCAAATGACATGGGCCAAAATTGATGATATTGGAACAATTATGCCCATTCTATCTCTTCCAAATCTTTAGTTTAGCGTTATTCTATACTCTTCTTTCTTCTGTGACTAAGTGTTAGGTAGGAACAGAGAACTTTATTCTTAATCTACTCAGCTAATATCGTCTTTACATAATGACGTATTCTTAAAGACTTTTTTGTAGAATATACACGTAGATTGATCAAGTAACCCTATAATGTGACGATAGTTGACTATTTTGTCTACAGATAAAACCAAAAAATCTAAACAGTGACAAATACTTATACGTCACATGACTAACGCTCATTCTAACAAATCCAACTAACAGAGTTGGGTTCCACCTCAAGTCTAAGGAATATAACTACAGTTAAGTGTTAGTAGTATACCTATATTCTCAAACCTGACGAAGGTTGAACATTTAATTTGTACATTCACGCTAAGGCATGAAATCAGTCTTGTTTTCCCAGGTTTGCTATTCACACTCTGCAGTTAAGCATTGGATAGTTATGGATCCTAATGTTTTAGATGAAATATTGCTCAAAGTGATTCCTTTGTGGTTGTCACAAGTGAACTCTTATCTTGTTCTATAAGCTGAGACATTCAGTCTGATTTCTAGCTTCCTTACGGAGGCTAATATCTCAGTTCATCTAATTTATAAAACTGAACTACGATCTTTTAAAACAACTGGGAACAATCTATAAGGACCAGCTACTCTCCCTAGCTTCAAGAAACAGTTGTTTAATTCACATGAAATCTGGTACGATTAACTGGGCACTGAAAATAAAAAGCATAACACTAAAAAATATCTGTATTTGCCGGGATAATGTCCTGTCATCCGAACCGAAACAGATAGTTTCTTTTGACTTAAAGCTCTGATCCACAATTGAGGGAAGCCATGTCAAGCGCTGCATTCTCAAATTAGCTAACAATCGAAAATAATTTCACACCATTCGTTTCCTATAAATCTTGGAGCCCGTATACACTATTGATTTGGAATCAGGATTGTCCAACTTTGAGCGTTTGCTTTTCATTTATTTTTTCTAAAAAAATCACACGCCGCCTGAGGGGATAGAGTAGGACTCTCTTGGCATAAAGTGTAAACACTTAGCTATGAGAGCACTTTAAAAGGTAGAGCAAACCGTCTGTACACTTGACCGTACTAGTGCATGCACGGCTTAACAAGTGAGACATTTTTTGAGAAATCCAAAATAATAAGACTTAGATTGATTTTAATTAATGTATGATAAACGTTATCGGTTTATTGTACTCACTCTACAAAAAATAAGTATATGGAATTTGCTTGCTAGATGTATAATTATTTCTTGGTCCATCTCAGTTCTCCATTAAAACTTTTCTCATTCATTATTTTAAACCTTTAACTATTTAATGACTTGAAATTCATGACAATAGTACTTATATATTTCAACATTTGGTTAAACTTGATGAGCCTTGTACATGAACGCTAGAACGTTAAGTTCCTAGTCTCACTTACTCATGAATCCGTGAAAAGAAAACAGGTGAAAAGTATAAGAGTTTTGTTTCTATGGTTCTTTTTGCAAAAAAGACGAGAGTATTTATATAATTATATGACCTTGTGGTTCTAGAACTCTTTGCGAACATGCTAAAACTAGTAACAATTTCAGTATTTGTCCAGTCAAAATAAGGAAGACAATCGTTTACTAGATTTTTCTTGGAAATTTCTAAAATATGCTGATAGGTCGAAGTGTTTTCAGCATTTTTATGGTTCTCTAAAACTGGCGAGAAATCACTGAAAAATTCCAAATGAGTTTGATCTATCTACACATTGAACTTCCAGTCCATTAGTCCATCAGGTGTCTGAATATATCTTCATGTACAGACTTAGTGTCGATGGCATTGAGATGCGTAAGCAGATTAGTTGGGAATATTTTACTTAAAATGAAGCAGTTTTGAGTATGAGTTTGAACACTAATGATATTTGTCACAAACATTATTCAATCAATCCACTAAGTCTATTATGTTCCTTTGGCTAAAGAAGCTGTTCAATTACAGACCTGTATTATCATTTTGAGCAAAATGTTTCGTATGAGTTTTACGTCCTATTGATGGTAGATAATATTTCGCATATATTCCTAATTAGATTTCAGTGAATGGTGTTTGCCAGGTCACTTGTCTATGTAGAGTTCAACTGCTTTTCATCCATTGATCAACTAGACAATCACAGCTGGCGCGATAGTCAGCCATAATCGATATAGAGCCTGAAATACGTATACATTGGCCCACGTTACCGTATCATACCACGTGTATTGAGTAATTTGATGTGGTTGCAATTATTTTCTATCTTAATCAAGATATTGAGTTTCAGAATTCATACATCTTCCTTCAATTGTCCAATACATACTGTATGGTTTCCTGAATTATGTCTTCATCCCAATTGTCCCCTGTTTCGCTTCCTCTCTTTGTTTCATTGTTCTACTGGCAAGCATTCCACTCCCAATTGCTGTTACATACTACTTGAGTCTGTCAACACAAGTAGCATTCACCACACCATAGGTCGAGATATTTTTTGATTTATTCAAGACACGGCTGGTCAGTAAAAAAAGTATAAATCACACAAATAAGATGAAATCATGAAGAGGTATATGATGGAATGAGGTACATCGTCAAAAATAATTAAATTAGTAAAAATGAGCGGAAGAGAATAGTTTATAATGAGAGAAATAGTTCATTTTAAAATATATATAACCAGGAAGAATCCTTTCAGTTAAATGAGTTTCTATCACTTTTTGTGAAGAATATCAAGGAAAAATGTACTAGGGTTCCATTGACTTCTATTTTGAGTTATGTCTAATAATGTCTCAAGCTACCGAGTTGTACAATCTCTAGGAGTACAACCAGGGCGTCATAATAAACCAACAGATGTCATCCCCATATACCTTTCTTTCATACCAGTAGTCCATTTCATAAATACACCACTTCTCCGCTCTTTCGATTTATCCTTAGCGTCTAAAAATAGTGCTCATCGTCAAAGATGTCGGGTTGACATTCCTAACACATGTGCAAACCACCAAAGCCGGTGTTTCAACATGGTGATATCAAATGATTAAAATCTAAAAGTATTCAAGTTAAAAATAGCCAATCATGACAGTTTGTAAATGTAATAAATAACTCAATGTAATCCCTCCAACAATTTCTGTGATCATGAAACAATGAATTATATTCCAATTAATGATATCGATTTACTATTCGTGTTTGTAAATAAAATGGGAACCTGGAATTCTGCTTTTAGGACATTTATGTGTGTGTCAAGTCTTTCTTAGTGCAGATCGAATGCTATAGATCTGGGTTCAGGGTTTCCTGTTGACTACATCCAACCACCATCTTAACACTACAGTTATTCTAGACCACGTATATGATAAAAAAATAATGACATATTAGATAATTAATATACCACATGAAAAGTTATGTTTGATTGTTTCATATACCCATTCATTCATATCTATCCATTTGTATATTATTTATATTCTTATCAATTATTGTATAGTTGGTATAACAAAATGTTGGTTCTAGAAATGAAGGTCATTCCATCTTTTACAATACAAAGGTAGCTGTATATTATTGTTGTTGTCATGTGGTGGTTTTTTTTTAATTAAAAAAGTTTCATGATGAATTAAACTATGCACTCACTGATATATATGTATGCACATACAGCTTAACTCTCTCTATATATATTGTTATTTTATTTCTGTAATAAACTTTACATAATTTCAATCACTTGGCCATACTTTAGTTTTGTTGCACGAAATACTATTAGTTTGCTCATCGTCGATATTTTTGTTTAATAAGTAGTATATAAACAATTTCCTGTATTATATATATGATGTTTAATATTGTTTCTTTTTCGTCGTTGTACACTGAATCTACGTTGTAATAATTCAATGGGAAAAATAGTAACA